CCCAAATTATTTATTTTTTGTGGTCATCTTCTTGCTAATTCAATCTGCAGCCACATCTTGTGACAGGCACATGCAAATGTGTATTTTTCAGAGTCCCTTTCTTTTTTTTGCAAGCTGCTGCATAGAACTCAAAAAGTTTTTCAATGCATCCCACTGCTCTGTTCCCAAAAAATCCAACCCTTTCACATGAAATCTKTTGCAGAAGTCCTGAGCAAAGCTCCTCCTGGGAGTTTGTCTTGCTCACAGTGTGACTCAGTCATGGGGAGCGTTGGGTTCCTGCCTGGTCCAGATCCTGCCAGTTTTCCCAAATCCTGTGCAAATAAAACCCAGATAAAGAGTTGAGGGGAAGGCATTCAACTATGACCTGAAAAAAAAAAAAAAAATCAGGATCGTGACATGTGATTTTTGTGTGTGCTTGTAGAGAGGTTTAAATACAGGAGTTATCTTCAAATTGATTTGAATTTCTGCTCAGCAAAGATTTATGGACACACTTAGTCTTGCCTTCAGGCAACTATTTTAGGATCAGTCTGAATCCTCCATGTGATCTTCCCTTTAGGGCTTAAGGCATGACCTATGCCTTTAAATCCAGGTGTGTGCTAAAGCACTCACTGAATGGGGTTTTTAATTTCAAGAATGCTTTTGGGGAGTTCTGTCAGACTACCCCCATTCAAAAAAATTAAACAGAAAAATCCTTTGCAGGTCCAGAGTGAACTTTAGCGATACAGAACCTTCACTATAGGATATTTTTTTGTCTTTCAAAATATAAATGTCTTTAAATACTATATGACCTTGAAGAAAGTGTTGCAGCCAAATCTTCACAGAAATCTGGTTGATTTTTTTTTTTTCCTATGGAAAAGAAACGCAATTCTGTTAAAACTTTCCAAGTTTTCTGTGCTGATCCATGTGCTCACTGTAACCTCGTGCTGGTCTTGTTGTAGCTCAGCCTCCTGAGTAATTCCTGAACTCACTGAAAGTGAGATGTAATTTTTCCTTAAGCTCTCTAATTACAGCAACCCTCACAGGGACAGACTCGTTCAGGGCCTTTCCTGCAAAAGATTTCTAAGACTTTGCCTGTGATTGCAGGGGGGAAAAAAAGAAAAAAAGAAAAGAAGAAAAAAAAAGAGTATTCTTGTTGTTATCAGAGTTATGGCAGGACAAGAAAAGGGTGATAGTGTAAGGCTTTCAGTGGTTTCAGCTCAGTGATAAAACACCAGGCAGGAAATGTTGCTTTCAGATGAAATGGCACAGAATGTATCCAGTCAGCCATTCCTTACATCTCCCAGTGTTGTTTTTTCCTTAATTTGCCTCATTAGTCTTGTGTTAAGAAGGAATCAGACAGGGAAATAGCCAGAGTGAGAGAAAATAAAAATCACAACTGCAAAYGCCAAAAAGTGCCAGGACAGATTTGTACTTTGAACTTATTCAAACATGCTGAAATCATGCTTCCTTTTCCCAGAAGGAAAAGCTTTAACCTGTAAATTGAAATAGATTTATTTCAAATAAATTATTTCCTAGGTTCAGTCCTGTGCAGAAGATTACTGGCCTTTACACAATACCGAGGTCAAGCATTAAAGTTTTGTTGGCATCAGTGGTTTATTTTATTGTGCTTGGCTATTTTGGGATGCAAAACTCGAGARTGTTTGATCTCAGGCACTTGATGAGCTTTTTGGAGATAAAGGAATGGCTGAAATTTCCAAAGGAGTGYCACAGCTCCTGGATTCACCTGGAAGAGCTGAGTGGATTATCAATTAGAGAGGAAATGAGCCCAAAAAGAAAGGCTGCTTATCTGAGGATTTAAACAACAAATCTCCCCCAGGTGGGATCTTGCTCATGATGGGAACATTTTGCTCCTTCTGTTTAATCAGCAGCCACCTGAATGAGAATAGGTATTGGTTGGCTAATAATGTTTTCTGCTTTACAGCTCTTGCTTAAATAGTTTTGGATTTTTAACCTATTTTTTTTTTTCTGCCACCCAATATGACTGTGAGTTTATGCAGTGCCATATAAGGAAATCCTACCCAAAAATATGGAACTGTAACCATCGTATCCAAACTCCTCCTGTGAGGCAAGAGAACACATTTTCCCTGTTTTATGGGCTGGGAATGGCCAGCCAAGTGCATTGTCTGGTGCCACGTGGGAAACCTCAAGAGATGGATCCCAACTCAGCTCCAGCTCTACATCATGGACCATTCTCACTCTGCAGGAAAAATTTCAGTGTCTTTAGCAGAGAAAGCCAGAAAAAATAAATCCAGTATGACAGAGGAGACTCTGATCTCAGCAATAAAACAAAATAAAAGGCACAAGGAAGATGTAACAAAGTTAAAAGTGCGGTTGGCCAAACTTCCTCTGAAGTACATCTTGAGTCTTGTACATAATTAAGATTATAAGTCCAGAAATGTACAGTCTGGAAGTGCTTTGCAATTTAATACAGATAAAAAAATCACGTCTGTCATGGTAATAATGCTTAAAAACTGGAGTAGTGACCGTTTTTAGGTCGCTTTGTGCAATCACAGTGTGAGTATTTCTGATAAGGACTAAAGATGTCACAATGACTTTTCTTCCATRCATTAACTTAGCATTTGATTCTATTTAGATTTTGCCTTGTAAATGATACAGCTGAGAGTGTTGCCAAAGGTTTTTTTTTTTTTTCCCCATTAATTTTTTGCTGATTTAGGTTTACTGGAGATGGTGCAGTCTCTCAGTGAAAACCAGAGTCAGACCTATGCTCTTCAAAGATCTAATCCATAAGAGGAAAGCAAATTATTAATTAATTTGTCTCGCAGCCTATTCCAYTCAAACTGTGAGAATCTCCTGGTATCATTGCCCCATTATCAGTGTCGAAATAAGGAGCTGAAACACCACAGAGGGGCTGGGTGGGGACCTAGGAAAGCAATTCAGCAGTCTGGAACTTCCTCTGCTAAGCAATTCTGGCAGCAGAGCCAGGCAGAATCAGAGCTCCTSCGCCAAAATAAATGTGTGCAATGACGATATCAGATGTGAGGTAACAGCAAGTCATGCTGGAGGATATCAGACATTCTTGAACAAAACCACAGGGCCTACATGTAATCCTCTGCTACTACACTGCAGCCCTGCCAGCTAAGCAAACACAAATTTTGGAGTTTTTTTGGCAAGGCGAGTGGGAGCATATGGAGCCTATGTGCTGAGCAGCCACTAAACATCCTTCATTCCCACACTCTCATCCCTATGGAAGCAAGCAGATCTCCAGGATCATTTCCACAAGAAACAGCTGCAGGGCTTGTAAATAATCTTTCCTTTAACATTATYGATGAAATTCTCTGCCATTAAACTTACAGATTCCTTAAATTTTTGTGTGTGTTACGCACATGTTCTTGGAAGAAAATGGATTCTTGTACTTGAGCAATTTAACAATCCTAAATTACATCACATTGGTGTGCATTGTAATTTAGGACTGTTGAACACCAAAAAGTTGAGGTGGAGTTAATTCAGCTCCAAATGAAAAGGGTGGTGTTTTATTAGGGGCAATAAATTCAGCGCAGAACAAATTTATTCGAACTGTGTTGGTTAAATTGCCTGGATAATTAAAACCCATGATGGGCGAGATGACACGCGGTGGGAAAAGGTTAAGTATTTAACTCATTTTCCCTTCACAGTTTGATTCATGGTAAGGTAAATACTGCCTGTGTGGGGTATGTTAACTTTATTTCTGAAATGTGCTCACCCAGGCAGTGAATAGGGGTTATTTCACAAAGTTAAGAAAATAGAAAGCTAAACTTTTGTGACATTTACAAGGGCCAGCTCCAGTCAGAAAGATGTAAGCACTGAGGAAAATATAAGCAGTGTAGAAACTGTGTCATTTTGCCCATACAAGGGGCTCTCTGCCTGGTTAATGTCTGGCATTTTTGTGGATTCCAGTTCCTACAGATATCTATTTTTATCCTGCATTAAATTCTCCTCAGAGTGACACGACAGAAATCCCAGTGAAAATCACTTTGAGTGGCTTCCAGATATCCTCTCGCTTTTCTTGACATAACTTTATGCAAATCTGAGATTCCTGTGCTCTGCAGGAATTGTGCTGAGATTCCAAAGTTTCAACCAGTGTGACATTCCCCGTGTTGCTACTATCCCTGCTGATYGATTGCAAAACCAGACTGAATCCTCACAAATTTTCATCCAGAAATGTCATTGTGGCTGATATTTCACAGCTGCTTGAAGGCTCTTGCATGAGTTTTTTCATTTGTTTGTTTGTTTTTCACATACCAAAAATCAAATTTATACTTCTTTTTTTAGGAAGCACTTTCTACTTTTATTCTATTTTTATTATATATATTTTTTTTCATGAATGTCTGGAGCTTGTTTTTCCACAGAGGGCAGAATTGGAATCACAGTTTCTAAAGCTGAGAGGCTTCTGTCTGGGCTCAGTCTGCCACCTAGCACTTTTAGTGGAAACACCAGTCTGCAGTGGCCACATTCTGACTTTTTCACTTATTCTGCACTTAATTCTGCACCTCACCTGTGGCATGACTTCATTGAGGGCATGAAGTCATCCAGTGTCATTAATAATCCGAGTCTGGGAAGTGAGTCTGCAATTTCCCACTTAATAAATGTGAACTAATGAGAGTTATTACTACATTTTCTTGCATTTTATGTAGGCAAGAGTGGTTTTGATACAGTTAGGATCCAGTTTTCTTTGTGTCTTTTTGTTTTGTTCACCTGACACAAAAAAAAAAAAAAAAAAAAAAAAAAATCCAAAAAACTAAACCCAAAACCCAACAAAGAAACAACAAAAAAAGACTGTAGTTTGCAATAATAAGAAGTTAGGCCAGAATATTTTCCCCCTTGAGATAATCTTTAGTAGAGAGGGAGGATATTACAGATCTATCTTTGTTTAGTCCATGCTTGGCATCCTGAATCAAACAGTTGAGATCTTTCCTCACCCCAGGTGAAACCATATGCTTTTCGGTTAATGTAAATATTCTCCAGCACCAGAAAATGATGGTTTTGCTTCTTTTTTTCTGCAGCAATATGAAAACTGGAGACCAAACCAGCCAGACAGCTTCTTTTCTGCTGGAGAGGACTGTGTTGTTATAATCTGGCACGAGAAYGGGCAGTGGAACGACGTCCCGTGCAATTACCACCTCACCTACACCTGCAAGAAAGGAACAGGTACAAATTTCACAGTGACAAAAGCATTATTTGCTCAATTGCCACTTAAAACTTTTTAGCATTTCCTCTGGACCTTGATGGATCCTTCAGTTTTGAGTCCTTTTGAACAGTTTGTCAGTGAGGATGATGTGAAGAGTCCTAAAACCAGACTTTTTGCTTAAATGCTTGTAGTGAATTTATGTGGGTATGCCAACATTTTTGGCTCAAACTAACATTAGAATTTAAACCAAAAAGGCAATGTAAAAAAACCCCACAATATCTGCCATTGTCCCACTTTGATCACTGCTGCTTTTGGTGAGAGCTACAGGACAGACTGATTTTCCTGTCCTAATTTGGATGTTCCTCTTGGGAGCCCAGCTGAGGTCTCCTGTTACTCCAGGGCTCGGASCTCAGTCCCAACTCAAACTGGGCTCACAATCTGAAGTTTTGGCTGATATTCTCTCCTCTTTCCAGTGGCTTGTGGTCAACCTCCCGTGGTGGAGAACGCCAAGACCTTCGGGAAGATGAAGCCTCGCTACGAGATCAACTCCCTCATCAGATACCACTGCAAGGACGGCTTCATCCAGCGCCACATCCCCACCATCCGCTGCCAGGGCAACGGGAGATGGGACATGCCCAAAATCACCTGCATGAACCGTGAGTTCTCTGAAAGCAAATGTCAGAAACAGCAGGTTTAATTAAGATTAATGAGTAGTTAATGTGTGTTTTAAGAGAGGAGCGAATCTGGTAGGGCAGGTGACGGTAGCGCGTTCTGCCTGCAGGAAAATGCGCAAAACCTTCAAAACGAATGAAAATTTTCCTTGTCGTTGAGGTTGTTTTAAAGTAATCAGCAACACAGTTAGAAAATCCTGGAATCATCAGGTTCCTAATAATAATAATGACTCTTTCTGCAACTGTGTATACCTGYCACAGTTCCAATTAATCACTCGTTAACCCTCTAATTAACCAAGAGCAAACGGAACCGTGACGCGAACTTGCAGTTTAAATGATTTCAAATGGATTTAATGAACGTAATGAATTTAATTTCAAATTTTTTAAAATGTAAATTAATTTCTTTTTTTTTTTTTCCCCCTCTTCTCCTCCTTCCCACTGCAGCCTCCACATACCAAAGGACTTACTCTAAGAAATACTACTACAAACACTCCTCGTCGGGCAAGGGGACGTCGTTAAACTCATCCAAGCACTACCACCGCTGGATCAGGACGTGGCAGGACTCGAGGCGCTGAGAGCTAAATGGTGAACGGGGATTTCCACCATTTCAGCCAAAGTCGTAAACTTTCTGTGCCTTTTTCTATCACTTATAGGAGCATTATCGAATCGTTTTTGAAACTACGGACTGCAGTATTCACGATGCGTTTTGCAAAAAAAAAAAAAAAAGGAATTTAAGAAAAAAAAAACATTACGGTGTTTATCAGAAAATTTAAGAAATAAATAAAAAAAAAAAAGAGGAGAAGTGCTTATGGGGATAAAAGGAAACCATTTCCAGCCTATAAAGATTATTAGTTTTCTATATGCCATCGGTGTGGACCATTTTATGATATGTACCAGCCTTCTGCAATATTTAAACAGCTCAATTTTAGCACCAATGAAAATGTAAATAAGATGATTTTAATGTTGTTTGACTGTGTGTTGTTTTTAAAATCCTGTATATAAAATGAAAAGTCACACTAATTKCAGGCATATTTATGGTTAGAACGGCCTCAGAGGTCTTCAGTCATTTATGACGTCGTTTCTGTGTTGTTTACCTAGGCTGGAAATGGTTGAAATCATGACTTCACTGACTGAAATTTGCCGTTATCAGGTGAAGATAAACACACAAGTGACATGACTTTTTCTTTTGTTTTTCTTTTGTTTT